TATATATATATAGAATAGCTCATTCACCGACGAGGTACTGTGTATGTCACTTCTTTATCGACTGTTGTACAATAAATACTGACATCCACCAGCAGATTACGCTTCGCAATTGCATTTTAGTCGATAAGAAAATTACACTTTATTTTTTTTAACGGCTCTTTTCGTCCTCTTCTATGCATAAAGATAAGCATATAAACTATTCGAGCTAGACATGGTAACGCAACAAAAAAGGTAGCGAAACTTAACAGACTCTTCTTTTTCTCTCAAAAGTAGAAAGAGCAAAGCTTTGAGCAAACGTTCAACGCATAACCTACACGCATTAGAAAAGGATTAGCTAGCCGTTAACTCTGTTCCCTTTGAACGGATACTTTACGCTTGCGGTGGAAATTGAAAAAGGGTAATCTACACTTCGAATATATATATTTATGATTGTGACTTACGAACAATTTCGATTATATGACAACATTGCAACAAAAAACCTTCTGGGGATACGCAAGATTGCTCGCAGTTGGCATCCCTTGTTTCGGGAACCGAGCGAAATTAGGCGACCTACGATCCACGTATCGGGTTGATCGGCGTGAAATTATTGTCACGTAGTTCAAATTTTTCACGCAAAATATCGAGTATTTAAATTTAATCGCGTCGTCCATAACGGACATCGAGCGTGACGTGGGAATATGCAACGCGGACGATCGCCGTGTTTCACGGAATTTATCCGTTCAACGTTTGCATCGCGAGTGTCGGAACTGTCGAAGTGAAGAGTGTAAAGTATCCGTGGATTACCGGTACCGCGTTTTAATTCGATCCGCGAGTGAATAAATATGGAAAGAGAGAAGCGAAGACTCGGACGGGGTGGCACTGTCCGGATCGCCGCAATTCAGTCCGTTTTTCGCGCGATCGTAATTAGCCGATGTGTTGTGATTAAGTGATTGTCGAAATGTGAATATTTGAAGCAACAACCGATGTAATCCAACGCTGTCGAACATTCGTCTGTTGGAAAAGAATAGCGAGCTGCCGTCGAGTACTTTTGTCCTTTTCCCTCGAGCGGATACTTTTTACTTAAGACGCAGATTGAATAGAAATCATCTATTTCATCTCATGTACTGTGAGAAATTGATAAAGGTATTTATCTTTGTATTTTGACCTCTCCCCTTACATACAATCTTTTTCTCCTTGATTGGTTTCACGAAACATGTAGTCCTTGTCATAATTATAATATCATACATGTTATTTACGCTAATGGAGATAATTATTATTGCGATAATTTTCCTCGCAATAGATTAGATTATTATAGCTATCGTTGTAATTATAGGTAAGAAAGATTTAGGTCAAACCAATCTGGCCCGTTCGAGGTACGTTCATAGGATGACGACGCGCCAAGCAGGGTTATATATATGCTTAATCGTTCGGAAAGACTTCCTCATGCTACCAACAAAAACGCGACATGAAGGACGACCGAGATCTCTCCGACGATCTTTTCTGTATAGTCTCGGATTACCAAAAATATCTCATAGCTCAGATATTCGGCGTTTAACGCGGGTGGTCATCATACTAGGGCAACCCTTCGCGAGATTCTCGGAAGCTCGAGGGATCTGAGTAAAAAAAGAAGGGTCGCGTAGTAATAAACCCGTGGCTATCTAGCTACGAAAGGAACACGTGTGGGATTTGGATTATTCCCGGAGAAAGGGAAGGAAAATATCGAAGTTTCGAATGGTCTTGCGAGGCGAAGAAAAACGAGGATAGAGGCGATTGTCAGCCGAAGAGGAGCGATGTGTGATTATAATAAGATCTTGGCGAGGCACAAAGAGCCGAGTGACGTGCAATCGCCATGCAATTTATTAACGGAACGTCGTTCTCAGGAGACCGAATCGATGGAAGCAAGCGCGCGACTCGACAATTACTCGAAAATTACACACCGATCTCTCTCCGGTCCGGAGCGACGTCAGCAGCTTCCTACGAAAGCTCGAAAACGATCTGGATCGAGAGAAGGAGAGCGAGCAGCCGCTCTCGCGATTTGATCCACTATGCACGTGTCGCGCGCGCACGTACACATTTATCATGCACGCACACATATATCTCTATGCGTGCTCGAGACAGAGAGAGAGAGAGAGAGAGAGAGTCTGCACACCTTCCCGCACGGTAACAGGCAGGCTATCGTGGTTATTAAGGAAACAGACGAAGGAACGAAACGAAGGAACAAGCGCGTTGGGTGGTCTTGCCCCGCTGTTTATGGGGCACTGCATCTGCTGGCCCCGTATAACCCTCTGCGAGCGAGCGCGACCTGTGTGGTCCCACCTTACGTCCGACTTTACATTCGATTCACTACTTGCTAATGGTAGCTGCATTAGCATTAGGTTGCCCGCCTGTCTCTCTCTCTCTCTCTCCCTCTCTCTCTCTCTTTCTTCGCATGATATGCCGCGACGAAACGAAACCTGCTGTTGTGCAATTTTTCGTCGCCGGCGACGAGTACCGAGGCCGACCATCCGTTCGTCCGCTCCGCTTTCGCGATCGAGATGGAAATCGAGATCGGGATCGAGGTCGGATGCCCGGTCCGGTAGCCTTTGGTATTCGCGGAGCGTGCGTCCTCGTGTTGGCGCTTACCACGTGCCGTGGATTCGGCAAATTTCAGAGCGAGCGAGCGCGAGAGACATTTGTCAAATAAAATCGAGAGCGAGATTACACAGTCTCAAAGTACTTTCCTTTTTTTATTGAAATAATTTCTTATCTTTTTTTTTATTGATATAAATATTTGAAATTGATTTTTCGAAATATTTTCTTCCCCTAGCAATAAAAGTTCTTCAATCTCCTTAAAAAAAAGAAAATATCGGGAAACGTCGAATAACAGCGACATTGTTGATAACTATAATACGAATCGTTCACTTCTCGTTCAAATATTTAACGAGCCACCTTAATTAATGACAATTATATGGCTCTTTAATACAGAATCCCGTGGACGAGAATCTCTCCGTCCCAATATCTTCATTCATTCGGAGAATGCAAACGAGCGTTTTAAGCTTGGTTTCGCATCACGTGTGTGCGTGTGTGTATGTGTGTGAGTATGTCCCGTGTAAAGCCGTGTAGCGTGGATGCGTGCAGCGCGGTGAACGAGGTCCTCGATATGAGCGTGTTAGCGATTGGTCACGGGTGTGGGTGCGCCATATGCGCGACCGTTTCACAAGCAGGCTACCTGTCTTTAGGGTCGTAACGCCAGATCGGGTTTTGACGAGAGATAATGATTTCGAGAATCGAGCACCCTCGTTAAACGAACAGTCGGACGAATCGGGATTCATAATACACGCTCTGCTAAAGTCTAAAGAATGCACGTCTAAAACGGACAGAGCGTACGCGAACATTGGCATAATTTTATTTTAATATATGGATATCCTTTTGTATAAATATTATCAGATATTTTTATAATTTATCTTTTACCATACTATTTTATTCGTCTATTCATACGAAATAAATCCCAATTTTACATAAAAAACATAATTAATACAAATATAATATAAAAAAAAAAAAAAAAAAAAAAAAAAAAAAAAAGAAAGAACCTGTTAACTCGGTCCCTTTCACACGAGTGTTTGAC